TATGGAACAAAATTCAATGTACTTCATTTAAAAATCCTTTGAAGTAACAGTAGTGGTTGTGTTTGAAAAAATAGGCATTTATCCATTTTGCAGCTGGTGCACTGCTGCATGCTTCACAGTCATTTTATTTCAAAACTCATTTTGATTTAATAACATCTATACTATATCTCCACCAACTTTACAAAGTCACAAAGCAAAGGATATAAGTATAAGAGTTATGTGGCAAACAATAAAACATACATTTATACTATTATCAGAATCAAAAATAGTTTTCACAAAAGATACTTCACTCTTCATATATTAACTTTTTGTCAAACATCAAAATACATTTCCAGAAATGTAATACAAGTCTCAAAATTGTATAACATCATAAAAAAACTATTCTTATTTAACATACATTCAACATTAAAGCGAATATTCACAATTTACCAGACTATAGGCATTTCAACATTTTTAAATAAGCCACTTCTGAAATAATCCTGAAAAATTTATTTACAGAATCATGGCAAGCTATTACAACACTTCAAAAGGTTTACACTAAGAGATTAAAAGTGGTGATATGAACTATAAAAATAGAAAAGGCACCTTAAATGTTATAAAGCTATATTTATATTGCCTGTTTTCCTAAAACAAAGCACAAACAATTCAGTATTTAAAGGATAATTCTTATTGATGTAGTAGATAATGCTATTTAGCATCTTTACTTAGACCTGGGCAACTACAGTTACATGGTTTTATTTATTTTGCAGTTCAGCCACAATTTCTATCACTGACATTTTTCTTAATGTTAAAATGTTGGGTTTGAATTAACTGACTGTTGAAACATGTCTTGAAGAGAAATAATTATGGATACAATTGATTAGTTTTGAAGTGAAATGTTCTAACTTCACTTCTAATTAGATTAATTTACTGAAATGATATTGTAAGTTTTTTGTTGTATTCAATAGTCATTTTGGATCTTGACAGAGAAGATACAATCCAGTAGTGTAGCCCATAAGTAACGAACATTAATCTTTTACTATTCATTATATATTTTCATGTTTATATTCTGGATTATCTGAGCATTTGCCTTCTTTGTTTTTCAGGCCACAAAATTCCCTTAACAACAAGGAGAATTTTAAAGAAAAAAATGCTTTGTGCTTGTTAATAGTTTTTGAACTATAAGAAAAAGTTACTCATGACATTCAGTTCGTGTAATCTAAATAGAGGCTAGGCAATGTTTAGCAAGTAAGTCCAAGCTGCCAAAGAGAATCTGCTGTTAAACCCAGTGGCAGTGTTTTCTAGGTGTATGTGACCTGTTTTAAAATAGCAGGAGGTCTTCACTAAAAGAAGTAAGTTTTTGCACTGTCACCTATAAAACTGCAAACATAGCCTTAAAACAACATTATCTAACTGTAATGGATTGATATATGGATATATGGAAATTGTGTATTTTATATAATTTTAGACAGTGCTTTTTGATCTTAAAATTTTAGTGATTTGACTGTTAGTTTTTAATGTAACTATATAAAAAAACTCCCCAAAATTTCAAGATCACAAAATATTGAATACAATGGCTCTGAATGTGTCTTACTAAAAGAAAAGTTAGCTTATAAATCAAACTCATCTAGACATTAAAGACAACTGACTGATTTATGCCTATTTACGTAGATTGTAAGAATTCTTCAAAAATCAAAAAGTTAACATATATTTGTAGGATCATAGCCTCTGATATAGATTGTTAACATATTGTAGGCAAGAGAAATCTTGAAAATCAGAGAGCCTAAAATTAGGTTCTATACAATGCATACAGTGAAGTTACTTTTCTAGAATGGAACATCTACCAACACAGTCTTATTAAATTAACAGTTCCAGACACCCTCCTTACTAGGATTTAATCTTTCATAAAATAAACACTAAAAAGTCACTCCTAGTTTTAATTTTTCTATCCTGTCAATGAGAAAAAAAGAAGTGCCAAAAATGAAGAACATGTGGAAGAGAAATAGGATGAATTAGAACTTTGATGTTCAGTAGGATAATTATAAATAACATGAATGTACTGTTTATTTCCAAAAGCTAGAAGATGTTCAGGTTCTCACAATAAAGGAGGACACGTGTTTAAGGAAATACATGTAATAATCAGATTTAAATGTTATTAATGTCTACATATGTCAAAACACATGATAGTTTATTAATAATACTAATAATGTTTCATATGTAGCAAACATATATTTTAAATAAAGATAACATCAAAACTTTCCTCCAGAAAAATGTACACATGCTCCATTTTTGGAAGTTGTCAAGACTACCACAAGAAGTACATCTCTTCTGCAAGTTTTTTCCTTGTTTTAATAAATAGTCATTGAAATTATTATAGCTCTATGGCTAGCATGTTTAAATAGAGCCCTCAATGTGACAAAATCATATAATGTCACATATATAGTTTCTGTTTTGGTACACAGATTTGGTATTATATAGAAGGGTATCTTGCTTTTAACATTAAAGATTATCTTGCTTTTGTCATTAAAGATTACTTGAGTGCTTTTCAAAGAAGATACTTTTACTCTTGAAACCAATTTTAACTTATATTCCCAAGTTATAGAGAGAATCAGAAAGAATCTTACTTGATAGTAAAAAACACAGTTCAATAGTTAGTGACCAACAGGTATTTGGAGTCTACTGCCAGAAGAGTCATTGGATTTTGAGAGATCAGGACACCAAAGGTGCCTTTAAATTCTTAAATCTGTAAAGAAGGCAAGTTATGAAAAAACATTTATGCTCAAGGAAGTCATCTATATGGCTTAAATAAAATTTAAATTTACTCTTTTCTTTGTTCAAATACCTCCTAATATGGGTTATATTGACTCTAATTTTATTGGTGGAAGGCAGTAAAAACCTTAAACCTTAAAAATAGAAAATGTAAATATCAATGTTTACCTAATACTACTTTTCATTCTTAAAATATTTGGATGAGAGTAATATAAATATACAAGAATTCCATTTTAATTGTGAATTTACAAGTTAAGGACTTGGAATTAAGCCTTCATTTTATATAGAAAACTTTCAAGCTCTATTACAGTAAAAATAAAATGGTCAGGTACTGTATTAGTTAGGATGTTCATACTGATCTGTAACATCATTTTTCTGAAATGTGTCTGCCTTACTCATTACCTATAGAACTCTCAAAACCCTTAAACACGAATCCAATCACAAACTTCTGGGTTCTGTAACTTAGCCTAAGGTATATATAAGCTATATTATGGGTCATATCTGTAAGGTGTAGTGAGTTAGTTAGCATTCTAGGGAGAATACTTCATTACTCTAGAATTATGTAATAAATCACCAAGTTAATTGAATTGATATTAACACATAATTATAAATTTTGGATAATTTTGGGGAGTCAATACTCAATGTACTGTTTCTCTTAATGATGTCATTTTATTCATTTACAGGGGTTAATTATTTTGTTCTTTGGGATTTGTATGTTTATCTATGTGGTACTCCTTTTATAGGACAGGGAAGTTTGTTGAAAGAGGTGTATAAACTATATGCATAAAATATCATATATAAAACATTTGTTGTGTTTTCAAGGTGTACATTTATAAAAAATGAGTTTTGTTCTAATTAATTCAAATCATCTCACATCTTTCCATAAGAAAACAAGGTAAAACAAAATGTATAATGTTAAAATACCCTAGGTGACATGATAATTTTCGAAGTAGTGTATACTCCAGTTGATATGCTATCATCCCAAATAAAACAAGCCTTTCTTTTAAAGCTGTAGATTATTGACTATCAGAAGACTATTTTAGAGTTTAAAATTTTATATATCCTATTAGATCTTTTATAACATATACACATTTGTGGAATATAAGAATATTCTAGTTTTAAAAAGATATGTGTTTGGTGCTGAAACCAAATTAATTCAACTAATAGAGATGTTCGAAATACAATCTTTTATTTACTTTGATTAGTTTACTGTGGTAAAAAATAAAAACAACTTCCAGAGTAAAACTTGCTACTGGATTTTATCACTGGTTAGAATATTCAAGGGCAATATGGTGTATACCTTGTAATGCAATGGCAAATGCTGGAATGGGGTTTTTAAAATAACTTAATGACTTCTATGAGTGACTTCAGGTAAAAAAGTTTGGTGCCTGTTTACCTACAAAAAAAAATCCCACCTAGTAAACTAATGGACATAATGAATTAGTACTGATTTTAAGCCAGTTACACTAGTACTGTAGATATGCTACTAAATATATATTTTTCTTGCTAGTAGACAATAAAGGAAGGCTTAACCTGGTGATGTTATTTAGAGAAAGAAAGTCATAAGGAACAAGCTAAAGCTTTTTCTTCCATGGTATCATTTCTATTCAACATGTTTGCATTCACTAACCTGAGAAAATATATACATATACATATACATATACACATACACATACACATACACATACACATACACATACACATACA